GGGGCTTCGGTTTGGCCTGAGTTCAATTATGAATCTACACTGAAATTTGAACAAGTTACTTACTTCTCTATGCCTGCAAAATGGAGCTATTCATAGCTATTTCATAGTCACTGTGAAAAATACAGGTTTAAAACATCTACTTGTGCTTGGCATGTAGTAGGTAGTCAATAAAATGTAGTTATTTTGATGAAAGCTGAGAGTAGGTAAATCTAAACAAATGGAAAGCTTATAGAGTTAAATAACAACTAAATATCTTCTGACTCTAACAACCCTGGTCAGTGTGGCTCAGTTGGTTGGGGAGTCAGTCGTCCTGCAACTGAAAGACCATGGGTTTGATTCCCGAGTGGGGCACATGCTAGGTTGCTCTGTTCGGTTCCCAGACGGGGTGCATGTGGTAGGCAACCCCATATGTTTCTCTCTCACAATGATGTTTCTCTCCCTCCCTTACCCTCTCTTTAAGAATCAATAGGCATGTCCTCAGGTGAGGACGAAGAGAAAGCACTGGGAACACACACCAGAACTTGATCCTTTTCTTCTAAAAAAAGACAAATATACCCAATGTAATACAAAATGATGTAAAAGGCACTCTGAGGACACCAAGGGAGTGACTGTCCTAAGGACATAGGCCACACATAAAGCTGAGTCATAAAACAGAGCCACAGGGTTTCCTAGATAAAAATACGATGCATGTAAGGGACCAGATAAGTGTAAGTGAGAAACACAGTGCTGCTGCTTCGGCGTGTGTGGGAAGAAGACTGGAAGATGAAGATGGGCTGTGGACCAGGTGGTAAGGGGAACCCTTGCTTTAAGTTTGTACTTTATTCTTGAGGCAGTGGGGAGATGAAGGGGGGCGGATCTAACATGCTAATTTGATAACAAAATTCTAAAGCAAAACAGCTTTATGACTTTAGACACCATATAGGTCCAGGATCTGCTAACCAGGAGCAAATAACAATGACTGACTTGGAGCCTATGCTCACCACTTTCATTCCTTCGATGACCGTTGTCATGCTGTTCACCCTTTCCACAACAGATAAAATCTGCCAAGTTTACTTTGTGCCTTGTGTTATGTTGTTTTACATATGCTCTCACTCAATTATTTTAACACCCTTATAAGGGGTACTATCAGTAATCCTGTTAAACAGATTGAAAACCTAGAGCACAAATGTTATACTCAAGATGGCTAGTGAGCGAGAGACTGAATTCGAATGTAGGCTGCCTAACTCCAAAGCCCTAAAATTAAACCAACCAGCTGACTGCTTAGTTCATTTACATTACTTGCACTAAGTTATATGTATGTACCTACTATAATTTAAGGCATCAGGCTAGGTCAGTGCTTCTTAAATTTTACTGTACAAAAGAATCAAGATTTTGATTCAGTCAGTCTAGGGTAGAAGTTTCAGAGAAATGTAATTTTAACCATAAATCCAATTAATTCTGATTCACTTGGTCTGATAAAGCCTGGGCTAGGTAATGGTCCTAGAGATTCAAGGATATTTGAGCTTCCACTCTTCTATGAGTTTACAATTTGAAAGAGGTAAAAACAAGACAAAACAATTCAGGAAATGCAACACAGACAATACAGAAAAGAAAGGCTTCATGGAGAGTTATCTGTAATGATATGAAGATGAGTAGGATTTCCTGAGGAAACAGGTTTCACGTCGACTTTCAGGACTGATGCTACATACAAAAGAAGATATGATGAAACAACCACTTGGCAGGAACAGAGGATCTGCATTTATGAAGGGAAAAATGATGTCAGGAAAAGCTAGAGGCTGTCGAACGCCCTCAAGGTCAACCTATGCCCAGGGGTGTCCGACCTGCAGTCCACAGGCAGTATGTTGATCAGGGTGGCTAGGAATGCGGCCCAATACAGAATTGTAAGTTTACTTAAATTTTATGAGATTTCATTTTTGTGTTTGTGCATTTAATGTGTGGTGCAGAGACACCAAAAGGTTGGACACTCCTGCTACAGGATGGGCTTTATCTACACTGGCACTGGGAAGCTACTAGCGGTTTTTTGAAGGCAATGATAAATAACAGTATTCTTTGAAGCTTTGCAAGATTATGCAGAACTAGAATAACAATGGGAATAGCCAGGCTGTTAGCATTCTAATCTTAAAAAAAAGGAGCCAGCACGGGGTGGTAAAAAAGTTGAAAAGGGGAGGAATGGTAGACAATTACATGAAAGGCAGAGGAGATGATCACAGCTAAATGATTTTTTTCATCCCTTAAATACAATTTATATCACTGTAAGCTTCATGTTACTTTTTAAGAACCTCTTATACGGCTAACTAGGCCCAAAATAAATAAAATGCACTTATTTAAAACACAGCCTATGACTGACTAAAGGGTCAGAAAATAGGCTTCTGAGTATACAAAATACATGTCACATAGTTCAGAAACTAAAAAACACAAAAAAGTAATTTTTGAATTATACATATACACATATTATATATAATTAACATGTATACATGAAAGAACATTATTGAGAGCTACACAATCTCATTTTACACAAAGTTCTAATAAATGTAAGCAGCTAATTTTCAAACTTACAACAGTTTGGTAGCAAAAATTAGAAGGGCAATATATCCTGCTACAGGTGGACATTTAAGAGTATGAGGTTCAAAAGAAATGAAAAAAGCAAACACAATCACTCAGGGTAAAAATCTTCACAACTGTTTATTGATAGGTACACGAGTCCCAGAAAAACAAATTGATAAGAATCTTCTTTCATATTTCAAATACCTACCACACACAAACTTTTAAATGTTCTTTAAAGCCAAATATTTTTAAACAACTATTTACCTGACCAAAAGGTAATTTAAAAGATTGCTGATACACAACAGCATAGCCCTCTCATCAATAACCAAGCATCAATAAAAATAGTTAAGGGTAAGAAAGATACATTTTACAACACACACAGTTTAAAGATGGTAAGAGTGCTTTCTTAAGGCATCTAATCAAGAATGTGGCTCCACTGATGAAGTTTAATTTGAGCAATTCTTGCCTGACGGCTGTGCCTTTGAACCCATGTTCCAAATAACACAAGGGCATCTACAACAAGTATTTAATTTTATTAAACAGGTCTTAAACATACACCCTATAAATTTACCTACTAAAATCATGTGACATCATTTGACACTCAACATCCCATTGCACTGTGTGACTACTTTTAAAAGGACTTTAAACATAGTAACACATATAGGCCTCTCATTAGGTTCACCAACACTCATTAATATTTATTACAATACTATTCATATAATATAGGACTTCACTTACTTTATAAACAGAGGAAAACATTCTCCTGGGGGGAATAACGATGTTAACTGACTCAAAGTTATACTTAAGTTTATGATTAAGTTTAAAATATATACCAAAGCCACATACCTTCAATCATGTAGAAGTATACCACATATTAATTATTGGAGAAGAGTTTAGGTTTCAGCTCGTGATTTTTTTAAATAGCAGAAAAGCAAATCAGTAAATATTTACAACACTATTAACATTAAAATAAAATTACCTTAACTATGATGCAGGGATAAATCAACTAAATGGAACTAGACCTCTCACATTTTTCAGACACAGCAAAGGATAGAGAAAATTAGGGAACATGCTTATTTCAAAAAATCTCATCCAATGATCAAGCCAAATAAGATATCAAAGGTTAAGATTATAGTGCAAAACACTAGTCAAATATGCTGCATTATAAATACTTAAACAAATGAAGCAGTCAACTGCACCCGGTTGGTACCACCCTCCCCCTTATACCAATCCATGTCCTTGGAATCATCCTTGTTCCTCAGAAGCAGAGGATATGAGGACACTAACTGAAGACAAAGAAATGTGCCTCGGAGACAGTATTTTTCAAGCTGCAATTTGTGACCCATAAATCAATGTAGTGGATTGAGTCAGCATTTTTTAATGAAAAGAACAAAATACAACAGAAATTATTACAATGCATCACGAGTCATGAGGTTCAATATAAAAATGCACATTTCACAACGGAGCATGATTTTTTAAAAAAAGTTTGAAACATCCTGCTCTAGAGATCTAGGTCCGCCGGTTCCGGACCCAGAGGTTGAACGCTCTCAGGGGCTCCGGGCTCCCACACAAACTCGCTGCCCCAGACGGGCTCTGGGGACGCGGAGGCAGAGCCGCTGCGCCGCCCAGGTAGAGCCAGTACGCGCCTCCGCTACACCTGTCTTTGCACTAGCGCGGCTCGCCTTCCCCTTAGCCTCAGACGGCGCCTACAGCCTTCCGGGCAGAACTCCGCCTTCCTCCACCGACTGTAAACAGTGCAACTTGCAGTCAGCTTCCCTCAACAGCAGCTTCCAGAGTCACTGGGTCGCAAGAGAAGGCAGCATTAAACCTCGCCACCGCGCCGGCCGTCTGCGGCCCCTCCACGGGGAATCCCGCAGCACGGCGACCCCGGGCAGGGCGCCCCTCCCAGGCCCATCACAGGCCGGCCCATCACAGGCCAGCCCATCCGTCTCCGCATCACGGTCACCCCAAAGCCTTTAACCTAAAGCGCCCCATCCTTTCATCAGCCCCTGTGCGGAGCAGGTCTAACGTCCCCAAAGCTCAGTTGTGCCCGTCCGCGGAGCCTCCCAGAGGAAAGCCCTCCACTTTTTTTTTTTTTTTTTCATTCAGTGGTTTAGAGACAAGTTTCCTATTTACCCACTCGGCTGCCTCAGCCTCCTCGGCTTCTCCTGCCAGCCAAGGGGCCTCCTCCGACCCCGCACAGCCCCATGCTCAGGGAGACGTAGGCCTCCCACGACCTCGCACTGCCTCCCCACGCGCCCCCCGCCATCCGGACGGCCCCTCTCCCAGCCCTAGGACCTGGCCGCGGCGCCCGGGCTGGGGTCCCGTCCTTCCCCGCCTCCCAGCCAAGCCTCGCCCGGCTCGCAGGGTCAGCTTGCACCGAGCACCCCCCCCCCCCCCCCCCCCCTTCCCCGGGCGGCCTAGCCGCCTAGGCTCCGGAGCTGGGCCCTACTCACCCCGCAGCCCGGGAGGCGGGGCTCCGCGGCGGCTCCTCCCGCGGCGCCTGACGCCCCCCTCCCGGCAGCTCTGTGGCAGACGCGTGGCCTCTGCGCTGTCCAGACCACCCCGGCCCTGGCCGCTTCACCTCGTCCTCCCCTCGGGCCGCTGTCCAGCGTCCTGCATTGACCCGGAAGCAGCTGTCAGGTCCCAACAACAACACGTGACCCTGTCCCGTGACGTCTGCTGCGTGAAGCGGAGGGGGCCAAGGAGTTGGTTGCTGTGGCGTCAGGATAGCGGTACCACTGGGCTGTCCCTAGAAAGATACCTCGTGTGCTCTTTCTGTAGCACATCATGAGGGGGCACCTGGGTGCAAAGGAGGTGCAGGGACTGCGTCACCTCAGAGCGAATCGGAAGCAGGTCAGAGCAAACCTGAGCTATGGAGAGGCCGAAGTGTACAGAAAGGGGCCTTGGGCTGAACCTTTCCAGGCTTACTTGAAATTTTGCCTTAGTTGTCAATCATTTGTAGTGTGACCCTGATCACTTCGCTCCCTTTTTCTTTCTGGCTTAGTGTCCTCACTGGGTGAACTCTAGACTGAACACCCGATACCACCCCAAGATACATTTGCAGGAGCACGTGGTATCACTCTGACCTTTGTGCTGTGTCCCCTCCCAAGGCCAATGGCATCTCGAGCTATCAATGCTCCAGGACCAAAGTGGTAACAGCAGCTTCCATTTACTGAGCCCCTTTGAGGCACTAGGCACTATGCACATGCTTTTTCAAATGTTACAACCTTCCAAGAGTAGCTATTTCATAGATTTGAAAACCGAAGTTTGCAAAGGCTACTAACCTGCTCCAGACAGTCCATTTAGTCCCAGTGACTGGGCTAAGATCGGAATCCAGGTCCCCCTGGCACCAAAGTCAAGCTGATGCACTCACGTTATCTCATGCCATTGCTCCAGCTCCACACAGACAACCTCTGGAGGTTGAACTGTGATTGTTGTTTCTTAGACTATTTCCTTTGCAGGAACATTAATGGAATTGGATGGTGCTGGCTGATCCTGGAGAGAATCCAGTCTTGTATGGCTGTGTTGGCTGAGGGTTAGGAATTGAAGAGGTCTATTGCATGACGTGTGCTGTCATGGGGTGTGTGTCAGAGCAGGTGAGGGGTTAGATGTGCAGGCATGAGTATTTACTTGTTCCTATGGGCCAGAGATACAATTCTTCAGGAGGGACCCAGTGGCAGTTCTTGCAGACTTCTCTCATTTTGTTTTTTCTCTTGCTCCACGGGTAGGGCTTAATGGAGTTAGAGGGGAAAGCCTGCAAGAATTGGTTAACAGATCCTGGCTGGTGTAGCTCAGTGGATTGAGCGCCGGCCTGGGAATCAAGCAACCACGGTTCTGTTCCAAGTTCGATTCCAAGTCAGGGCACATGCTTAGGCTGCAGGCCAGTTCCCAGCAGGGTACACACAGGAGGCAACCATACATTGATATTTCTCTCCCTCTCTCCTTCCCTTCCCCTCTAAAGATAAATAAAATTTAAAAAAAAATAAAGAACTGGTTAACAGAAGTGCTCTGAGAATCAAGGGAAGAGGAGCCAGGCAGTGTGGCTAAGTTTGCTGAGATGGGGCTTTCCTCCTCCTGCTGCAGAGAACAGAGTGTCTTTCTAGCACTTTAGGATTCATGGCTTTTGGAGCACGAGGATCAATGGCGTGATCATAGTCAATAATAGCCTCAATGAGATATGCACAGAGGAGGAAGAACGGGGTGGATGCTGCATAGATACTCACATGAGAGACTTACTTGTGAGTTCAGGGACCGTTATGGACACCCAGAATGTGTTCAGAAGTTAAATGTATTTTAAGCAACCAGGAAAAATGACAAGAAATGTGGGTCATTACTGGTGATAAATACCATGTGCATGTTATATACATGTAGATGTAAGTATTGTATATGACTGGGTGTGATTAGTAATATACTTCTTTACTTATCTGAGATATTATTGAGTCACTTTTCCTTTTTTGTTTCTTCTCTCCTCTTATAAAGATAAGGTCAATGTCTCTATCCACTTCTGATCTATTCCCCCAAGACAGCCAGAATTATCTTTCTAAAATGCATATTGGTCATGTTATTTTCTATCTCCTCTTAATCTACAGTCTGGTAGTCACTATGCACATGTAGCCATATAAATTCAATTAATTAAAATTAAGTTAAAATAAAACTGCATTTCCTGACACATAGGATGCTACCTATATGTCAGGTGCCCAGGAACCATATGTGGCTAGTGCTATAATTATGGACAGTGTCAATACAGAATATTTTTAGTATCACAGAAAGTTATTGAAACCTGCTGCTCTATACTCTGAATTCCTCATGTTTCTGTTCTTCTGGAAATTTGCTTTGCTAAGCTCTTTGCTTAAAACATTCTTCTATCTCTTGAGGCTGAAAATTATACATAATTGTTTATTTTCTTATTCTCTCTTTGACAAACAGGTAAGCCGCTATGAAGGCAGGAGCTAAGTCAGTCCTATACACATTGACTCCCCATTACCGCTAAAGGACTGCGACACAGAAGGAGAATAGACACTGAACTGAAGTGAGAGGAAGTAACACAAGGCAAGTGTTTGGTCATTTTGTTAGAGCTTGTTGATAAATTGATCACTTTAACCTATAATCAGCAATTTCATGTAGTTCAGCCTAGTAATAAGTAAGAACTTTCAAAGAATTGGGGCTGCTTCAGTCAGTTCTGATGAGTTCCCTGTCACCAGCACAAGTTAAGCAAAGGTGGAATCTGTTAGAATAATGCATTAAAATTCCTGGATAGGTCGGACTGGTTGACCAGTTTGATTCTAAGATTCTAAGTCTACATTCAAAGTCTTTAAGTCTTTGTCTACATTGTCTAAAGTCTAAGTCTCTGAGTCTTTAATTCAAAGTTGATTGTGCTGCAACAACAGTCATAGCTACTTTCTGAGCTTTTGCCAGGTGCCAGACAAAGCTTGATATCTTTCACATAACTTCTTTCCTTTAATCCCCTCAATAATTTTATGAACTATGTTTTCTACCATCCAACTTACCAAATATGATGCAAGTTATATAATACACCTCCTGCAAAATACAGCTAGTAAGTGACAGATGCTGAATTCATATTTAGGTCAGACTGACACCAGAATCTGGGTTCATAATAACACTGTAATGATGGAAAATAGTTCTATTATAAAATTTCAGTCAGATATTTGTCCCTTTAATTCAACAAATGGTTATTTATAATGGATGTATTCCTTGCACTTAGCTAGGTGGTTTGAGGAAAACAAAGATGGATGAGGCATTGTCCCTAAAATGTAGTAGGAAAGATAATACATATATTCAAATAACCACAATACAGGGTAATTAAAGGTGTATTATTTTAAAAGGGGGTAAAAGAATCACCTTCTCAGCTGAAGTCTTCTCCCAAGTAGGCAGAAGGACAAGGGCAGATTTACATAAGAATTCAATGTAAGCAGTGTGGCTACACAGAAAAGAAAAACCAACTGCTTCACTTGAAAGAATAATGACTGGTTCAGAAATGGAGTCTGCAGTACTAGTCCTGGTTTTTCCATTCACCAGCCATGTCACTTGACATCCTTCTGCCTTAGAGCTTTATCTACCAAATAATCTGAATAGGTTAAACTACCCTGGTATACCCACTGAAATTATGTGTAAAGCATTATGTTTATACATATACATGCATGTATTTTCCAGGGAAAATGCCATAGATTCCATCAGATTCACAAAAAAAATTACAACTCAGAGAATATTTGTTATATTGTGACTTTAAAACTGCAATTCTGAAGTTCTATACTTCATTGTTGTCAACGTTGATATATCTGTCAGGAAATGAATTGTCATGCCAAGCTTAGTGACCAAGCAAAAGGCAGAGATATTTTTTTTTAATTTTATGCTGGAGAATCATACCTAGAATTATTTAAAAAGTAACAGGATCTCTTTACTGGGAAGAATATGTTTTTTTACTTTCACTTACAGTTTACATTCAATGTTATTTTGTCTTAGTTTCAAGTTCACAGCACAGTGGCTAGACAATTACACACTTTAAAAGTTTTCCCCCTGATATTTTCAGTACCCACCAGGCACTATACAGAGTTATTACCATATTATTAACTATATTCCTTATGCTGTACTTTACATCCTCATGACTCTTCTATAATTGCCAATTTGTCCTTCTTAATACCTTCAAATATTTCACCAAGTCCCCCAAATACTCCTCCTCTCTGGCGACCACCAGTCTGATCTCTGTATCATAAGTCTATTTCTGTTTTGTTTGTTCTTTTATTTTGCTCTTCAGATTCCACATATAAGATAAATCTTATGGTATTTCTCTTTCTCTGACTGACTTCTTTCACTGAACACAATACCGTCTAGGTCCATACATGCTGTAGCAAATAGTAAGATTTCATTCTTTTTTATAGCTGAGTAATATTTCACTGTATATATGTACTACAATGTTTATATCCACTTGTCTTTAAATTGGGTTGCTTTCATATCTTGGCTACTGTAAATAATGCCATGAACACAGGGGTGCATGTATTCTTTCACGTTAGGGTTTTGGGTATTTTTGAATATATACTCTGAAGTGGAATTGTTGAATCATAAGGCAGTTTCATTTTTTATTTTTTGAAGACCATTTATAATATTTTCATTAGTGGCTACACCAATCTGCATTCCCACCAACAGTGCGCAAAGGTTCCATTTTCTCCACAGCTTTACCAGCACGTTGTTTGTTGATTTGTTTATGATGGCCATTCTAACTGGTATGGTGTGACATGGTATCTCATTGTGGTTTCAATTTGCATCTCTCTGATGGCTAGTGATGCTGAGCATGTTTTCTTTTTTTTTTATTGATTATGCTGTTACAGTTGTTCTATTCCCCCCTTCATTCCCCTCCACCTTACCCCTCATCCCCACCATTACCCCCCTTTAGTTTATGACCATGTGTCTCAAGTCCTTTAGATTCTATATTTCCCATGCTATTCTTGCCCCCCTTCTATTTTCTATCTACTGTCTATGCTACTTATTTTCTGTACCTTCTCCCCCCTTCTCCTCCTCCCACTCCCCTGTTGCTAACCCTCCTTGAGATCTTCATTTCTATGTTTCCACTCCTGATCTAGCTGTCCTTTTAGTTTGCTTTCATTTTAGGTGTGGTTGTTAA